CAGGACTGTTCACTTTTTGTCTTAATGCTCGCTTACTTAATGCCTACCTACTCACTCGTAGCATTCATCCGTGACTTGTGATGCTTTGCCATGCCATGCCTGTTAGCGTGTTGGTGATTTGGCCAGAGAAAAAGGTTGGCACTACTGCCATATTGAGATGCTCTTTAGGCAGGCTGCTTATCAGGCCCAAACATTCAGTCTGTGCACTGAGTGAGGATCATATCTCTGGGATGCGAAGACACTGTGCAAGCACAGTGAGGAAGCACACATTTGCTGAACTGGCGTAACTGACTGCCTGGGCACATTTTCATGGATTTTAAGGTGAACAGTTCTTGAATTTTTTGGTTAAGCCATTGATCTGAGTCTTAGAATAGATTCTAAGAAGAAATGAATAAGTTTCTTGTCAAGAGAGGTGGTTCCTCTACCAATGTGATCAAAAAATTTCTGAACCCAAATAAAACAAAGCAAGAACTGTTCAGAGACAGTATGAAAGCTATCTGGCCTTTGAAGTTTCATGGGCAGGAGATTCCACTTATCTGTCCCTTATCTGAGTGCCTCACCTGCAAAGAGAAGTTGGCAAATAGTTGAGTTAAGCCATTTTTGAAAATACCTCTGTGCTCACAGTTGAAGGTGATTTTCAGGTGAATTTGAAACATTAATGCTTTTGATCCTTCTTTAGCTTGTTGTATGCACTATGTTGCAAACCTCTCTAGTAAAGGCATAATTATGGTGAATGCAAGTAAATGTGATGTTTATCAGCCATCAATTCAGCTGATAAAAGTGGGTCTTCCATGAATTTTTTTGTCTCATTGATGTGTGCCTCATTACTGAAAAGGTTTGGAATACTGTGCTAGACTCCTGCACCATCTCTTTTCAGGAGGATCTGGCACATCTTCTGCCACTCAGGCACTTGAAGAGTCAGAAGGAGGCCCAGGAACCAAGGACCCTGAGGGTCAAGCCCTGCCCATTGGGTGCTGCCAACCGGAGGCTAGCAGATCTTCTATACTCAGTTTCACCAGCAGGGGAGGCAGTGGCTTCATTTGGTACTACAGCACGTAAAGTCTCCAATTGCTTAGGGACACAGGCAAAAGGCGAGCGATCGTGGTAAGGCGGTCACAGAGTGTGGGGTCACACAGCAAGAGAACCACCAGGATCGGGAGGAGGATGGCTCACAATGGGCTACACCTTCCAATGCCAGGTCCCCTGATTACGCATTGCTTCCTTTCGAATGAGGGACTCCCCTCAGAGCCAGCACACACCCCAAATGATGAGCCCCACCCCACTCCATCCACCCCAACCTAGAGCTGGGTTAATAATCACAGCCATGGATTTAGTCAGGCTGGAGATGGGAAGGCAGAATGGCGCTACTTCCATCAAACACGCAATGGGAAAGGGCCCAAAATTCTGCCCACTGTTCAGGTCCGGAGTATTACTGAGAGGAGCTATGTGACCACTCAAACTCCACACACAATCTTGAGTCCTTGGAATCCAAAAGGTGGAAACATGAACATTCAGGTCAATTGGGATCTGCAAATTAGAATCACACGAGCCAATGTAGCTTCTCAGGTGGTTATTTTCCAACTGTGCTCTGGGTATTTAGAGCAGGCAGAAATCAAGCATTGTTTCTCAGAGTACAAGACTATCTCTTCAACTCAGATTCTTGACTCTCCCAGCAACAGAACAAAGGTTGTGTTTAAGGTCCCAAAGTGTTGAGCATCATTACCCTAAACTTTAAAAGTTCTAAAATCAGGAATCCCTCTTTGTATTGTTCACAACAGTTCTGAGGAAGGGTCACCAGACCCGAAACGTAACTCTGTTTTTTCCTTCACGGATGCTGCCAGACCTGCTGAGCTTTTCCAGCAATTTCTGTTTTCTTTTCTCTCCATGGATGCTGCCTGATCTGCTTTGATTTCCGGTCTTTTTTGTTTTCTTTACCCTGCTCAAACACTTAAACTTAGCTATCACATGTTATTCGATTGTCAGACACACATTTTCTGTCTATACAAATAGGAGGCTGAAAGAACACAGCAAGCCAGGCAGTACCTGGAAGAAAAGGAGAAGTCAACGTTTCAGGTATTACCCTTCTTCAGGACTGGATGTGGGGTTAGGGGGAGCTGCAGATAAATAGGGGGGTTAGCGGAATGGTGGTTATAGATGGATGCTGGTAGTAGATATTGAAGAAGACCATGTCGCAGCAAATCAGGACGCAAATTTGAAAAAAAATCCAACGTATTATCCTCAAACACTTCCGCCAACTCCATTTACATCCCACCACCTGGAACATCTTCCACTCCCCACCCCTCTCTGCGTTCTGCAAAGACCATTCCCTTTGCCACTCCTTAATTCGTGCCACATTCCCCACCAACCACTCCAACCTGCCTGGTGCAACACCTACCCACACACCACCTCCCTCATCACCTCCTCCAGGGCCCTAAACAGTCCTTCCAGGTGAGACAGAGCTTCACCTGTATCTCCTCCAACCTAGTCTATTGCATCCGGTGCTCCCAAAGTAGAGAAGACCACATTGGTGAGACTAGGTGACCATTTCGCCGAGCATTTTCGCCTGGCCCATAATGGCCAGCCTAACCTTCCAGTCACCGCCATTTCAACTCTCCCTACCATCCCCAGCAACACCCGCCCCACCTCCACCCCCTCCCCCCCACCCCGCTGCACTCCAACACCCCCAACCCACTCACCCTCCAACAGGTCTGTCCTCGGCGTCCTCCAATGTCACAGCGACAGAACGCAAATTTGAAGAACACCACCTTATCTTCTGCCTGGGCACATCCTACAGCCCGGAGGACTCAACATTGAGTTCTCCAATTTCAAATAACGTTCCCACCCATCCCCTGCCTCTCTCCCTTCCATTCCACCTTTTGACCCTCCCTTCCAGCCACCAATCGGATTCAACCCTCCCGTCAACCAACCAGGTCATACCTACTACCAGTGACCATTTATCACCATGATTCTCCCTCCACCCCTCTCTATCTGTAGCTCCCCCTACCTCCACATTCAGTTCTGAAGAAGGGTAATACCTCAAACGTTGACTTCTCCTTTCTTCCAGATGCTGCCTGGCTTGCTGTGCTCTTCCAGCCTGCTGTTTGTCTATCTTGCATTCCAGCATTTGCAGTTTTTTTTTGACTCTAAACACATTTTCTGTCTGTCTGTTACCTCAAGATGAGGGAATAGAGTTCCTGTTGGGAGAGTGTCTTGGGATCCTAAACAAGGAAAATGTTATTATCAGCACATCTTGCACAAATATCTCCTTAGCACCATCATAAAATGGAATTACTCTTGCTCTTGGTCTGTCCTATCTAGGTTTGCAGTCAAGAAGGATTGAGAAAGTCCTGTAAGGTGATCATTCCAGCTCCCTGCTGAAAGTAAGCTCCTCATTCAAGAAGGATGCATAACACCAAATGAACGAGGCCAACCATGGGAAGTCTGGTGAGTTCAGCTCAGCAAACACACAAATTGTCATTTTCCCATCCCACACTAAAACCATAGAACCGGGAAATTGGTCCTTAGAGGAACTGAGTTCTTGTCCAATTAACTCATTACTACCTGTCTTTCAATTAATTTATTTTCACTATTTTTGCTTTGTTTTGGCATAGATAAATTCAGCAATAACATTTTTTAACCAATTGGCATAATTCAGTTGGAATAAAAACATTTTGGTGTCCATGGAAACCACTTATACTTTGTGTGCAAAAGCAAGTGCAATCATATAACTACTCAATCATATTCAGGAGCTATTCCACGTTACAACAAAACAACGGCAAGTGTATAAACATGTTAAGTTACATGTGTGATCTCATCCATTAACGATTAAGTAAACATCATTAGAGAGGCTAGACTATCGAGTAATTGTGAGTAAAGAAAGCTGTTCCCTAAAGCAGGCATAATGTTATGGAGGTTGATCAAGAGGAGTTAAAAAAGATGTGGTCCTTTGAATCAAGTATATGAAAATAAAATCCTTTGTTGTTGGTCTTTTAAACACAGTGTGTCTACAGTAATAGACAAAGGCATATTACCAGGCCTGCATATTCAATAGATTAGGATTCTTGGTGATAATGACAGGCAAACAAAATAAGTCAGAATGATCATTCACCAGGAAGCTAATCATTTACGGTAATAATTCCTCATAATATTTTCCTGATGATCCTGTTGATTTTTCACTGAAAAAATGTATTCATTGATCATGTGTGTGAAAAAAGCCCCTCTCTGGCTCTATTACGTGCATGTAAAAATCAATGGAGTAGGGCCAAGGCAAAAGCTCAAGTGAAATCCATTCCATTCAAAGTCAAACAATATTTTTAATATTCAGATGAGTACTTGCTCTTTTAAAATAATTGAGACTTATCTACAAAGGAGTTTAAATTTAATACGAACTGAAGCATTTGCAAAGAAATCACATTAATAAGAGCAGTGTAATTTATTGATATATCACAGTTTGCTGAATTACATTTCAAAACAGAGGTGAGAAGAGATTATTGTGCACACAGGCTGTTTGGCTGCTGCTGCCTCACCTCAGGGGTCTGTCAGACTGCAGAAAGGATGTCTCGCCTTCATGCATGTTAACCCTTTGATGATTTCATCTAGATTTCTGGGCTGCAGTTTTTCTTTCCTTCTATTCACCTAAAAATCCAACTTCATCTGCAGTTTTATACACATCTTATTCTTCTATCTTGCAAGCTGTTTTACATGCTTACAAAGAAGCTTATTTGCACTTGTTACAGCCAACGGATTGAATTTTAAAAGCTATGAAATTGTATTTTGGATATTGTTAAGGATCCTATAGTAGTGAGCTTGTGTCACATGTTGTATCTGCGCATGCACGGATTCCATTTTGTTGCTATGCGTAATCGCTCCAGTAGTTCACTTATAGAATTGTCTTGTGTGTTGCTCAAGCGTTAAAGGTAGCAGAAAAGCGCACTGGGATTCCAGTGGGGTGGGTGGGTGGTTTGACCTGCAGCCTGCTAATTGGCAAAGAACACTGAAAAATGTGAGCTGGCAGCAAAGTAGAGAGAGGCCACATATTTGGAGGCATAAGTTAAGCACACATTACAAATGTTCTTTTTTATTTGCAGAAGGGGTGCACAATATCAGAGAGAAAGATAGTACGAAACTTGGCTATTCTACCAGCCATTGAGGTGGTGGTCCTGGAGTTTGCTGCCAAAGAATGGAGGCAGCCTATAGGTTAAAGCAAAGTTGGACAAAATTCCTTTGTAAGCGAGATTCCAAAGGCTCATATCTGTAACTTTTGCAAAGAGTGCCGAGGGACTGAAGGAGGTTTGGGGTGTATAAACAGGGGAAGCTGGAATGAAGGTAGTATTGTCACTTGAGTTTTTTTGACTTCAGGATGGAAACTATGCCCCTATGTTGAGAGGTCTACCGTTTAAACATTGGTTTACATCTTCCAATGCTTTCAGTGCTTATTTTGAGCAAGTGAATGGCTAAACTAACCTTCAAAAGGATAGAGATGCTTCAACTTCTCCATTTTAGTTTCTGCCACTGCACATGAAAGCTCTGTTACCTTTGAGGAGGAACAGGCAGCCTCAGAGGGTGCAGTGCCACATCCTTCCTCCACATCTAGTACTAGTTCTGGTGACAATCAACACAGTGAGTAAACGTGGCTTGACTGTAAAACAAAGACATGCTGGTGATGCAACTCACAGTTGCAAGAGCAACAGTTAAAGATTGAGATCTTGCAGGCATTCGGTACTTAGAGGTTTTCTGGAGTCAACCTGGATGTTGAGTCCCTATCTGACGAAGAAGCTCTGGAGTTGTCCATCAGGCAGATAATGTTGGACATACAATACAAGTTAGATTATAATATGGGAGATTCCAATGGGTTGGGGAGTTCTTGCAGACCATGAGCACTGCGGCCACCTGAGCTTTAGATCAAATAACTTCCTCCATCGAGAAACCGGTGACATCCATGAAGGCCCAAACCCAGCAGCTCACTGATCAGGTATTGGATATGCATGCTGACCTAGGAGCCCTATCACCCAGGTCCAGGGCGATAGGAAGCTGAGGAGCCCAGTTTCTCTCAAATCAGGAAGGGTCAAATGGAAGTACAAGAAGCAGATGAGCAGCTGCTACTGCCATTGGGGACCATTTCTTAGAGTAGCAGGGTTAAGTGAACCAATCACTTACATCTCATTCATTTTTCCCTTTTGATTTATCCCTCAACTGTGTCGGTTTGTCTGTTTGTCTCAGTGTGAGTGGGAACCAGAATTAAAGAGGATTGTGTTTAAAACTTAGATATTAATCAGATTACCTTGTGATTTAACTTTGATCTGCTAAATATATTGGTAATAAATTGTTAAATCTTTTATTCATGCTATAAACCTGGTGTCTGGTATTGCTTATTCACAAAGTTGTGTACTGGTAATTTTCAAAATCTGTTTAGGAACCATTGGGGTCAATTTTGAGGATCATTGAGTATTTTGATTTTACTGCATTGTGAATACAGGGATCGGGAGGCTGGTTTGATTTGGTTGTCTGTCTCCATGTCATAAAATATGGGTGTTTGTGTTTGTGGGGTTTCAGCTTCATAGAGTCCACACTGATCCTCTAACAAGCATCCCACCAAAACCAACTGCTTCATATTATGTGGTGACTTGCAGTGCCCTGATGTGGCCTTGGTGTTTATGGCTGGGAGCTAATTGGAGAAGGCATCAAGGACTAGGAAGCTGTTATTGAACTGGAGACACTGTACATTATCATCTGAGTATCAGAGTAATTCTTACTTCCTGGGCAACAGGCTGTTCTGTGGACCAGATTGGACAGCTACTCTGATTGGGTGGCATGGTGGCTCAGTGGTTAGCATTGTTGCCTCACAGCACCAGGGATCTGTGTTCGATTCCCCCCTCAGGTGACTGTTTGTGTGAAGTTTACACATTCTCCCCATGTCTGCATGGATTTCCTCCAAATGTTCCAGTTGCTTCCCACAGGTAAAGATGTGCAGGTAAAGTGGATTGGCCATGGAAAATGCAAGTTACAGGCATAGGGTAGGGGACTAGGGCTGGGTGTCAGTGGGATGGTCTTTGGAGGGTCAGTGTGAACTTGATGGGCTGAATGGCCTGTTTCCCCACTATAGGGATTCTATGATTCAATGATTCTATCGAGTGCAACTCAACTTCCTCTTCAGGCAACCTGGGCTTCTCCACCAGTTCCTCCTCTGACCAGGTTTCCCCTCTCTGGAGGGCAAGGTTGTACAATGTACAGTAAGCAATGACACTTCCACAGGCACATGTTACAGGGGACAATATGATCTGTGCAGAAGCATCTTAACCAATGGTCTGCTCGCTGAACGATCTGGTTGATATGTGGCTTTCATCATATCCATGCTTGGCCCACATTTCAAATTTAAAATCCAGGCCTATGACTGATGTTAAGTACCCCACTGTAACTTCAACTTTCTTCTGCTAATTTCTAAATCGTTATCTAATTGCTGAAGAAGATATACTCAGATGTGCTGTTGTCTGCATTTCAGCAACTGGCCACCACAAAACTGAGAAACTTAAACCTACAAGGGTGTTCTAACTAATGGGAAGTGTGTTAAATGTCCTGTACATTATAGTCCATTTTATGATGTTGCAAGATGTTTTATAGTGGACCTTAAGAGGGTCTAGTAAAAGGAATGCCTGGGACAACGCTTCTAATTTAAAGTATTACTATTTTCCTTTAAAGAAAACAGGATTTTCTTTCAGCTCTGAAAACTGCTCTGTTTAAAAATATGCAAAGAATCTCATTTTCCACTTTAACTTCTAATCTTCTGCACCATGGTGGCACAGTGGTTAGCATGGCTGCCTCACAGCACCATGGACCTGTGTTAATTCCACTCTTTGGTGACTGCCTGCGTGGAGTTTACACATTCCTTCCATGTCTGCATAGGTTTCACCGAGTGTGCCAGTTTCTTCCCACAGTCCAAAGATGTGCAGGCTGCATGGATTGGCCATGCTAAATTGCCTGTAGTGTCCAGGGATATATAGGCTAGGTGCATAGCTATAAGAAATGCAGGGTTACGGGGATAGGATGGGGGGTGGTTGGGCCTGGGTGGGATCTCTACAGGGGGTCATTGAAGACCCAATGGGCTGAATGGCCTCTTTCCACACTGTAGGGATCCTATGTGAAGTTGGACCTCACATTTTGCTGTCTCATGTCCAATCAGGATTTCACCTCTCCTAAAAGGTACTGAAAAAAGCCTAACCAAAGTCATTTCTCTCTATAACAATGATGTGCATTATCATTCATTGCCCTCTGTGTAACCATTCACCTCAAATGCTCTTCCCCCTTTGTGCTCCATGAAACTGCTGCCTCTTCAGTACCATTCTCACCTAGCTAATCACAGACAGAACACCTATAAAAATGGTTTATTTAATTTCTTAGCAGTTCTCTTCAGATTGCTCATTTTCTTCCTAGCCTACACAATCCCCTTCAACATCACCTGTAGATATGGTATCAGTTTCTATTCTTATGCTACAACACCGAGCTGTGTCCCCCCAACTTTCTGTTGCCTCTGTTGTTAGACTGGAATGAGTTTTAACATCTTCCATCAGAATATTGTGGAGACCAAAGCCATCAATGGACCTTGCAGGGCCATTAGGAAAGAGAAGAGAAGCGGTACTAGCTTCTCCTCTCTTAAAAAGAAATAGATTCACCAGTCTCCCACCTTCATTTCAAGCTGTGACATCTTTAGAGACTAAATTCCAACAGTATAGTTTTGTCTAAATTAGAAGTGTGTCTGGCACATATAGATACCCAATAGTCTGAACCTTGCTGGATGAATAACAGGATGGTTGTCCACATTCCCTATTACTACTGGGCAAATCAGGCAGCAAAATCTGTTATCTACTGACACACTGTTAAATACAGAAATCCAGACAATCATGCCAGTGATGCCCACCTCCTCCATGTGCTGCACCCTTCTCTTAGGCTGTCCTTCAGGATTGAGAATGACTTTTTCTGTTTGGATTTGATGAGTTCTGAGGTGACTGATAAACCCAATGGGAAGTCTCCAGACTCTGTCACATGTGAGGTGAATATTGTTTGAAAAGTTCAGCAAAATAGTCTACCACAGAATTGAAAAATGAACATATTTTTCACAATCTTGCAGTTGATCTTAAACAATGGAGCAAAGTGGCTACAAGAATGATTGGAAGAAGACCTTAGTTTTATAAAAGTGTTTAGTGAGATGCCCATTTTCTCATATGCTTCAGAGAAGGTGTCAATAATGATCTGCAGCTCAGTTTCTGAATGTGCACACACTCAATTGTAAGCTGCATACTGCAGCTCACTACCTGTGGCTGGAGGCAGTCTTAGCCAAAAGAATCTGTTCAATTATCACTTGTACCACTTATCCACAGAATTTGAAGGAGGTCACTGCACTCAAAAATATTAACTCTGCTTTCTCTCCACAGATGCTGCCATACCTGCTCAGTTTCTCCAAAGAGTTCTGCTTTCATTTCAGATCTTCAGCATTCGCAGTTCTTTGTTATATTTTAGAGATGTTGAGCTGCTGGGCTGCCTAGTTCCAAGGGAGAAGAAAACAAGTCCCCAAAGGCAGGGGACATCTATATGTTCCATTATTAATTTAGACTGCTGGACAATTGTCTACAATTCCCAGACTACTGCTTATCTATCTGGAACTCTCTATCTGACATGAAACTACAGTTTGCTACAAAAGGATGAGTTGGTTCCAAACCATAGAATCGCTAAAGTGTGGCCAATCGAGTCCACACCGACCAACCAAAGAGGATCCTACTCCGATCTACCCTATCCATGTAACCCTCCATTTCCCATGGCTTATCCACCTAACCTGCACACCTCTGGACACTACGGGCAATTTAGCATGGCCAATCCACCTAGCCTGCACATCTTTGGACTGTGGGAGGAAACCAGAGCACCCACAGAGAGAATGTGCAAACTCCACACTGACAGTTGCTTGAGGGTGGAATTGAATCCAGGTCCCTGGTGCTGTGAAGCAGCAGTGCTAACCACTGAGCCACCATGCCACCCACCAAGATGGATTACCAAGTATGCTTTTCTAGGAATAACCAGAAGAGATACTGTGTACATACCCCCATATTTTGGTTTCTGGGTGATTGACACTTTGAAAGGGTTCAGTGCTAAGAATTTTGGGGTTGTAATCACCACCACCATGACAGGCAGGCCTTCTGGCAATGGCCGTGGTGCAAGATCTTCCGGAAGTTAGTTTCACAGTTGTGCGTTGGTGGCCTTGAACTCTTCAAAGAACCTGTAGTGACTCCAGCAAAGTGGAGGATGGGAGTGTTTGATAGGTTAGTGCCTTCTCAAACACTGACCTAACCCTCTCACCTCCATGTGCTGCTACTTCTTATTCCAATGCCCACATGGGAAAAGCCAAAGCCTTTTCAGAATTGCTCCAAGTGAAATGAAGAGCTGGTGGTTGTTGGAGGGGTGCAGGGCTAATTGGAAGCCCAAAGTTATAGGGGTAGCATAAGACCGAAGTGCAATAAAGAAGGGATCAAGTGCAAATCCAATTGAAAAAGACTGTGACAAAAACAGGTTGTAAAAATGTTTGCGAAGTCAGGGACACAATTTGGAACTCTTTACAGCTCTCAAAACCTCAACTGCAGCTAAATTGAGAACGTGGAGCAGCAGTGTCTGTTTCATAAGGGCCTAAAGTTTCCAGCATACTGCAGTGACATTTCAGCAGAAATCCCCTGGTTGTACCACCAGGTATGTGACAATCCTTGCAAATGGGCACTCATGATTTGCCTCCCTTAGCACCGCAAAGATTTTGAGAAAAATAGCATCTAGCACATTAACCAAATGGTGTAGTCCCTTAGGCAGGAATTTCTTTGATTTGCTTGAAGTCAAAATCAGTGTATAAATGCTAAAGATACCAAGAAAATTCAAGTCCATAGTTTGCATTCCTTTAACACAATGAACTGAAACAGTCAGAGCTAGGCATGAAATGTCACCGCCTTCACATCTGGACAAGTTCTTGTAATGACAGAACCTATCCACTAGGGTGCGCTTCCAACTCAAGAAAGAACAGGGGTCTCCTCAGCTCACCATCAAACTGAAAACACACCTCTCAGTGACACCAAGCACTGGAGTCGGAAAATTGGAAATCAATTCTCAACTTCACTTTACTGATTAAAATAATTCTAAAATGGAAAACAAAGAGTATCACATAATAAGTTTGTAACTCAGATTTTTACACCACATACCTCACAAGTTCCTGCAGGTCTGTCACATCAACCTGTGGGTTGTTACTCCCTTCAGGTGAAAGAGGTGGTACAGATGAAAGAGCAGGAACGATTGGCTCTTCAGAATCACTTGACAAAGAAACACTGGAAAAATGCAAACATGACCAAGCCTCTCAAAACGTGTTCTCTCTTGGTTTCATTGAACAAAAGTAAGACGACAGTGTAGCCTTTATTGCAAATAGCTACTGATCTACACAGGAAATCCGACAGCCACATCATTTCAACATGATAGAACGACATCAAGTTAAGTGCATTTATGCATTTTTTTCATATTTCAAACAGTTTCCATGATGCAAAAATGAGGAATAATGTTGATTCTTTCCCTCAGTAACCCCAATGCACACTGAGATAGCTCCAACCATCTGTCACTCTTTTAAATCAGTTTCCTTCTCTTCTCATTTTGCTCTAACTAAAAGAAAATCTTTGGATGCCAGAAAATCTTTGAATGCATTAAAACTAAAGTGCCTTTCTTAAATATTCAATAAAAATTCAACAAATAGCCAGAAACCCTACCAGACCATAGAGTTGCTTTCTCATGCCAACCAGCGTGGGTTGAATGCCTGCACCAGCTGATGTTACCATGAAAGTATATCATTATCAACCTCCCCCCTCCCCTGAGGTGTGTCGATCCTCAGGTTAAACCACCACCAGTCATCTCTCTCTCTAATGAGAGAGTAGACTTATGATCTGGTAAGCTATGGCAATGTTATCATTAGAAAGAGATGACTTGTGGTGGTTTAACCTGTGGATTACCACACCGTCAGCCAAGGGGATGGATTGAGTAGGAGGGTTCTTTATGGAAACCTCCACAGGGGCAGGAATTGAACTAATGCTGTTGTTGTCCCTTTGTACTGCAAATCAGCCATCCAGCCAACTTAGCTAACAAACTCCCAAAGTCAAGAAGTAACTTTCTATTGAATATTATCCTTTTGAAAGACCCAGACATAAAAATGTTTTCAGGGATTACCTTTGATGCATTTAGGCAGACAGTGACTATTTGTAAACAATACAGGACTGAACAGCACCAGATAGAACATAGAACATAGAACATTACAGCGCAGTACAGGCCCTTCGGCCCTCGATGTTGCGCCGACCTGTGAAACCAATCTGAAGCCCATCTAACCTAAACTATTCCATTATCATCCATATGTTTATCCAATGACCATTTAAATGCCCTTAAAGTGGGCGAGTCTACTATTTTTGCAGGCAGGGCATTCCACGCCCTTACTACTCTCTGAGTAAAGAACCTACCTCTGACATCTGTCCTATATCTATCACCCCTCAACTTAACGCTATGTCCCCTCGTGCTAGCCATCACCATCCGAGGAAAAAGGCTCCCACTGTCCACCCTATCTAATTCTCTGATCATCTTGTATGTCTCTATCAAGTCACCTCTTAACCTTCTTCTCTCTAACGAAAACAGCTTCAAAACTCTCAGCCTTTCCTCATATCATCGAAGTAACGTGTTAGGGCCACGTCCATCGTTTTCCTTGAACAATCACTCTGCCAGGATCTTTGGGTCAGTCAGCGTACACAATGACCCCGAGAGTAAAACTATCAACGATTTAGATTCTGATTTTCAATGGAGACTGGAATTGGTTAATTATGGCCTCATAAGTTGCACTAATAGATAGTAGAAAAACTGGCACAGATCTCCCAATCCTCAATCACAGCACACCCTGAGGTGCTTGCTGTTATTCAAAGTTTCAGAAAACTAATTTACACCCAAATATAGAAGATAAGGTACATTGGAAATAGCTTCATGGATGCACTTGACCATGACCCCACCTGTCCCCCACTCCACAGAGACATGTTAATTTAAAATTGGGCTATTTGGCCAATATTGATGCTTTTTTTTTAGACTGATTGAATTAGAGCTGTTCCTGGCAGGAATGAAGCTCAAAATATCACACATGAACTGCCAGCAGCTAGCACCTGCTTCCTCGTTGCCTGCCCCAAGCTGCCTCTCATTTAGTTAAGGGGAGTGGGGAGGGTGCAGATGTTGAAAGCATCAGAGCATTTGGCTGCCCTTTTGCCTGTTGAAGTCCCTAGGAGGAAAATGAATGCTCCTTGAAAGCCTCATACCCATTTCTATTTTACGCGTGACGTACCTGACAAGGTGTTTTTGTTGCCCTGTTATGTCAGTGGTTGTTTTATCTGCATCATCAGATTGCAAAGGTGGAAGTGGAAGAGGTAGAGGTAGAGGAAGAGGAGGAACTGGCTGTTCACATTCAGAAGGCACTGGAACACTGAAAAGTAAGAAACACAATCAATAGCATTTCCCAGTACATATTCTCTAACAATAAACTGATGACGTTATAGGTTTACCTTATAGAAATGATTCCACTTGATAAAACATCAACGGCTAACAATCAGAATATCATTGTGCAATTTAGAAATTTGCACCAATATATCTCATTTTCGCTAAAGTTACAAAATTTGAAATCAAACTTTGCTATCAAAAACCTTGCATTCCAACTATTTCGCCTTCAAGACAACACTTGCTGCCTTACCAGTGGCCAAGTCAGACAATTTTCATTGTTCCCAGGACCAGAAAACTGCTTCTAAGGCTGTGACAGTGGCCAGGAATAAACAAATGATCCTAGCAGACCAAATTTGTGATGCTTTGGTCTGGTCTAATTCCTAGACTGTTGGTTATTCAAAAGTGTGAAAGGACATGCTGACCCCATTACAAAACGTCCGGCATTTAACATCAGGCAAGGAGACAAACCATTTTCCATTACTATTATATTCAATTATAGACACTTGGCTCACAGGGTATTAACCATATTCAGGCAGGAACAATGGGCTGAATCTTACATTTTTTTGATTAATTGTCAGTTTTGTCAAGTTTCATGCAGGGTTTCTCTTCCTGAGGCATGGGGAGATCTCTTGCTACATCTTACCAAATTCACCTCATTAACAACCTAACCAATGCCTATGGCACCCCTCTTGCTTAATTCTAACCCCATTCTACCACCCTCCATTCCCAGAAGAACTTGCAACTGGCTGGATATCCACAGAAAGATCAGCATCGCTGGTGCCCATGCCATCTTTAAAAGGCTGCTGTGTACCCAGGCAAGAACTGGCATTCCAAAGCTGGACTACTCATCAAAGACAGTCTTTCTGAAGATGTCTAAGAAGGGGAAAATGGTACTGTGATTCTAAAACTTTTGGTGGATGGGACTGTCCTCTCCTCAGAGTCCAGCAGAGGAGGCCAAGCCACTAGACCCAGGCATTCTGCTCTGAGGTCATCACCCAGGTCAGTGCAGTCTCTGCACTCTCAAGGAATGGCCAGCAGTGCCACAAGAAGGCCAGCTCCATTCTGCCAGGGAAGAGCTCTACTACCATACACTCAATCTCTGCTACTGTAGAGGGTTCATGGTCTGACACTCTCAAGACTGCCTGCAACAACTTCCCTTGCTTTTGGTTCCCCCCATCGAACCTCTCACAACTAACAACCCATGGCCTCTGTGCTGCCTATTCACTCACCTGGGAATGGGGAACATGGCACTCACTTGAGGTGCTTTTTCCTCATCACATTTCAATCACACGCACCAGCCCCCTAACAGTTGTGCCCCCTACGTACACCTCACTCAATCCTCCCTTCTCACACTACAGGAGAAAACAGCCCATTACAGCGTAGAAAGAGCCAGGAAGGATGGAAGTGGCCTGACATCAGGCTCCTCACCCACTATGTGGAGAGAATTCTGGTCCTCGGAGAAAACTAGGACTGTTCCTGCAGAGATACCAAGATTTCTAAATCCCACCAACTGATTATGTACCGTTCCATATTCCACGCAAATGACAGATGAGACAAAGCTTGGTGGTGCTGGTGGGTGGGGAGTGGCGACCTGTGAGGAGGATGCAAAGAAGCTTCAGTGTGATTTGGACAAGTTGAGTGAGTGAGCAAAGATGTGGAAGACAAAGTATAATGCAGTTAAATGTGACGTTATCCACTTTGGTATCAAAAATAGGAAAGCAAATTATTATCAGAATGGCAATAGATTAGGTAGTGGGAAGGTGCAATGACTGTGTTAGCTCTACCTCCTGAATTGGCATTATATGCCACAGGACTGACCACAACACATTCCCAGGCTGCAGAAACACACACCCCTGACTGAGAATAACCTAATTGGATGCCTGACCATGGCCATATTGGAGGCTGCCCTTAACACTACGCTAAGACCCAGTGACCCAAGACCTGGTGCCTCCATGGGCCTTGGTGAAGACTAATTCTCGAAGGCTTTAGTTAAACTGGAACTTAATTAAACAATGTATCGAGTTGTCTGACATTGAGATGAGTCTCACAAGTCTTCTCACACGATTCTGTCACATTTCTTGCCATAGCCCACGTCATTCAGGCCCCTTATAACAGTCTGCCCAAAATTTTCATTGTGAGTTCGAACCTCATGCAGGTACAATCACTATTACACTTAAATGCCCTCTAAAGGAATCAGGTTACAGCTTTCGCTGTAAGAAACATGAACAGTAAGTGTTTTGCACAGTTAAGGGTCCGATAGCTTTGGATATATAATCTCCTTTAAATGAAACAAGATGTACTGAAGTACCAACATTTGTTTGCATTTCCATTATATTTACAATAATCTCATTTTATATAACAGGTTGAGCAAATAAAAACATTGAAAGTAACTTAATTCATAAAAAAATCATCTAAAATGTTTGATGGGAAATTTGAGTCAGCATGAAAGCACCCAGTACATGTGGTAGGGACTGGAGTGATCATAATTTATGGTAAGTATTTTTTTGATGCTAGTGTTCATTTGCTGTTGAGTCACAGGACTCAGTACAATCCACACTGTGTCTACCTGTATCTCAGTGAGGAAAAAATAGCTAAGCATTTGCTTTTGACAGGAATACAATCTCACTGAACACACAAGTAGTAAAACCCACTTAATCCTAATATGAATTTATCCAGTTCTGCAGATGACTGTTCATTAACAACTGAATACATAGCAACATCACACATTGGATAATTCCAGAATAAGTATTGAAAGAATATACAAATGTTACAGGAGTCTAATTTATGCCAATTACAGGGAAATAGTAAAGAATTTCACTAAGAACATATTACTGAAGGGCCAAACCCAAAGAGTTAAGCCCTTGTGTAGCTTTTGACACATCTGAGCTATAGTTGTACTTTGCTCTTGTGCTCAATACCCAGGCTAATGGCCTGAATGAAGATACCTTACGTTTGAGAATTGTTGACACAGTATATCAACTATCAGCCATAAAGTCAGATCTCTAAATTTAAACCCAGTATCTGAATTATTTCAAAATCTGGTAACAATCAAGCCTTCCATACTTTGTCCCAACAGAATATCTTAGTTTTTTCCATGAAAGCTGAGGGCAATGATTGTTTCTCCAAGGAATTGTTATTTAAAGCAGCAGGCATCTGATCCAGCAGAGGCTCCTTTTCCATGAACAGGACACCAGTTAGACTAGCTGCTCGTCCAAGGCAGACACTTCAGTGCAATCTCCAAATCAGTATCATCAAGTCAGAGTTAGGTTTTGCTAACTTTATATACAATTTGTTGAAATTGTTTCATTAAACAGCCTTTCATTTTCCGAAACCAATCCGCGTAGACATTTAACAGATCATCTTTGTAGATTCAGTCTGTCAGAAATTCCAATCTTCCCTCATTATCCAACTTACTGAAATCCATCTCAGAACATACAGTAATTCTGATTTTACTTCTTGCAGGAATTGATATCAGTGAGAATATATTTTTTCTCAGGTTGGGTTGTGGGTAAGATAGCAGTGGAGTAGGGTTCCTGAGCCTAGGGCTTGTCCACTCTGTCCTCTTTTCTCTTGTTTCTTTTCTTTTTTTCTGTCTCTTAATTTTTTCCACTTTAATTCAATTACGTCTTGTTGAAGGTCTCGATCGCAGTGACGGCATTGACAGTGGCAAGTGGACCCAGTGCAGACTCGTGACACTGGCGGAGAGAGTTTGGGTTCCCAGCGGCTTCTGCATTGATGAGGCATTTCTAGTGCTGACTCATGGCTGCTGGGCGGAGGCATGTCTGGGATCCCATTAGGACCTGCGTCTAGCACAGATTCACGGAAGAGGGACAGGAATTGCATTTGGCCTCAGTACGAGACCCGGCGGCATCGGTGAGATGAACCTGAAGGCGACTTATGGTGGCATTGAAGCCAAGTTTGGGCCGGTGTGGTATCTGGCGGCATCGGTGGCATTTGCATTGATGAGGTCCAGCGAGGATTCGTAGCAGCAATGGAATTGGTGGGGGCTAGCTGGTGTTGAAGAGTGGTGACTTTCATTCTAGTGGCATGGCGAAGTGGTCTGGCCACCAGGCCCATGGCCAATGGTGAAGCACTTAACATGAAGGACTGTAAAGTTGAACACTTTTTCTTTACTTTTCTAGCTTAATATTCTATGTTTTGGTCCATTTTTGTGTTTCAAGATGGAGAGTGATAATACTATGCAAAACTTTTTGCTGCATTTTGTAACAAAATACACATGATAATAAATAAATCATATCAAATCAAATCAGAGACACATATACATACCAGTGTCATTTTTCCACTATTCATGTGGTTAAGATCTGAAGAAAATCAAAAGGTAATCACACTTCAATACTTTAAACTTGTTTTCTGCCATTTTCCATATTTGCCACTAGAATTTTAGTTTTAGTTTCGTCTAATAATGACCTAAAGTTTCCAACGTTCACCTTTAGGTAATCACCCTCTGTTACTATGTTAAAATATACCTAACTGGTGAAGGATAGAACCGGAGCCTAGCCTTTATACATTCACAAACCTTAAATTTCAAGGGATCTATTAAATATGGTGTCCCACTAATCCAACAACCAAGATGTCAGTTTATTCCCGTTCAGCTCTTTTATGAAACACCTCTGGAGCAAGTGGGACTTGAACCTGGGCCTTTTTGTCCCCCAACGCTCTTCGAGATACTTTTTAAAACCATTTCACTAAAGTAACTAGTATTGGACCATTAAAGGGGCACTAAATAATATTAAATCTTCTAAAGACATTTAAAAACTAATGCAAATAATCATTCCCAGAATTGATTGCTTGGCCCTCTGTGCCCACAAGTCATGAAAGTACACCCAGATGCATAACAATGAAATAGAGATAGGTAGTCAGGTCCAATGACTATCTCCATAATATGTTCCTCTATACATATTTTCTAATCAACCTGTTTAGGATTGTTATTACACACCTCTCGAGCAGGTGTAACTTAAACCTGGGCCTTCTGCCTCAAAAGGTAAGAACACTACCACTGTGTCACAAAGAGCCCTTAGTGTGACTACTAATGACTCCACAATTAATCCCCACCACTTAATTGTCTATTAAATGGGTAATTAATTCTATTTAACATACAATAGAGGAACTAGATCTGTATGTTTAAAACTGAATGCCATATTCTTCCTATATCTCCATACTTATAAATCACCCACCACATCACTCTTATTGGGTGTTTTGTAGGCAATATCTACAACAGCCTTTGCAATATCTTTATTCTATGCATACTTTTTCCAAGGTATGATCACCCTTACTGCAGTGATTGTGTTCTATTGTAATCAATGTTGCTGCTCATCCTCCTTTCCCAATTTTGCAGTTTTTTTAAATTCTAAAAATCTTATAATCTGGCAATTGTAGCTTCCAGTCATGCTCAACGTGCATCCAGATCCTTGTAATGGATGCTAACTCTTTAATTTTCATTGCTTGTCATAATTGCATTCATGTACAGTAATTTTATATGGGTAATTAATCCCCATTTTTATGGATGTGTTCATCTTTTAACTTGCAGTGTAAAGTTTCTGTTATGACCATCCTAACAAGTTAAAATATTTTGCCACAGATCCTCTTTAATCTTGCCATTCTGGTTAAGGCGCAAGCCAACCCATTGAAACAACCTTGCATGCCCCGAAATGCAGTTCCAATACCCCAGAAACCTGAAGCTCCACTATCTGTATCATACATCTACCACTTCTTGACAATCCGAATCTTCCACTTGTTGGTCCAAGTGCATTACACTCAGAGTTATCCAGCTATGCCGGAGATTCCACTTCTAATCTATAAGTTAACTCATCAAAATCCCTTTTCAGATCCTTTCCACATCATTGGCTTTCACAGAAACAAAGACTACTGGCTATTTACCTTCATAGTTCAGAAGCTTTTGGATTCATTCAACAGTATTTTGAATCCTAGCTTCTAAGAAGCAACATATCATTTGAGACTTTGAATCACATGCGCAAAAGGATTTCTAAAACTCTCTGACAATGGAATTCCATGCAGTCGTCAATCAGGTATTCCTCCTGCCTGTCCTCTTTTCCCCAACGGAAACTTCTCAATGTCCTGCAGCCACTCATGAGGAAAAACTTTGAATACTCATCATTCAAAGGATTACTGCCAAGATTATTTTCCAAGATTCATTGATAAATTGACCTTTCCAACATGAGAGAAATCTTATATTCATGCCAAGCCAGTACAATAATGTTCTGTCAAACTTCAAATCATCATTACATACAAGATTATAACAAAAGAACAAAAGTTACAACTGTTATCATGTATATTTGAGCTTAGGAAGTGCTTTGTTTCCATGACAACAGTGTATTGTTGAAAAGTATCTTGCTGCCAAACCATTTACGTGTGCTTCAGAGTAACAATAGTTTTATTTAACAAACAGTTCATTATACCAAGTAAAATGTATGTAAAGTTTCTCTACCCTACTTCCACCAGATTAAAAATGTACATTTTGGTATTATTCATGTTTTCTGGGCTTAATTTCTATGCTCTGCCTCCTTGCTTGCAATGGTTGATAACTATACACTAGTAATGAACCACTTCAGACTCATTTGACAAAAGCTTTGTGAGAAACATGGGGCTGACAATATGGCTATGCCTCCTATTATGGGATGCAGAAGCCTGGAATCTGCTCTGTGGACACACGGGAATAATGTCATATGGGTTTAAAGGTTTGTTTGTGTGTGTTTGTCTTTGTCTTTGTGTGTTTGTCTTTGTCTTTGTGTGTGTGCATTTGTGTGCGTGTGTGCATTTGTGTGCGTGTGTGCATTTGTGTGCGTGTGTGC